ACACAATGGTAGAAATGACCTTCATGTAAAGAAAGTGAAAGATGAAATTGGGTTTATTATTAAACATTTTTAGAAATATTCTAAATTCAAACAAGGAGTTTGCATTTGAAGTGCAATTGATTGCATAAAACGATAAAACAATTGTTAGGATTACAAAATGGACTTTTTTGTGGATTAATTTAGTCAGTGTAAGTGATCAAAGACTAAATTCACACTTTATAAATTCAGTTGTAAAGACTTGCAATATCTCAATCTCTTAAGACAGAAATATTCACAGCAACAGCAAGTTTAGATCCTAATTACGGTCCTTGAACAGATGGGATCCCATCTTTATTTTAAAAATAATATTGCCAATATTACACCTTGTGAGTTTCACATATTAATATTAGTTCCAATGCACACCAAACTTGAAAGAAAACTATGTAGCCTCCAGCCTCAAAAGAGGTGTCAATGTTGTCATTAGAACCTCAGAAACTTGGGAAATATCTAAAAACAACGATACAGTTTTGATTTTGAGAGAAAAATGCTAGTACAGTAGAACCGTTATATTCAGGAGGACTAATAGGGGGTGTCGTTAGTTTGGATTCAGAAATGTAAATTAACAATTACATCTATAGGGTTTCAGGCAAAGCAATGAAATGTGCGATGGAAGAAAATGGCAATGGAGTGTAACGATTACATCATCAAGCAGATTCAGTTCCTCACAGGAAAAGAAAGTTACCGATTCCTCTAAGTGAACATTACTGAAACATTATATATGCACTGTAGTTGCCAGTGCAATAAAAGTTTCATTTTGACCATTGGTTCAATAATTAGTTGTTCAATTTTAAATAAGTAATTGTAAATCCTTTCTTTACATTACAAATAACCACTTTATTTATTTTATTTTCCCTCCATCCTGAACTTTGTATGTATTATCTGAAATTTCGGATTAGTGGGATTCAAAACTATAGTACTAATTTAAATGCTTGTTTTATGTTTTCAAGTTTCAATTTTACATTTTTAAACGTCTATTTTGCCCGCCTATTGCTAGAGTTTTGCGTGCCTATAAATCTGCAGCTTAGTTATCACTTTCTCACACTTAAGAAGAAACTTCTTAAGAAGAGGAAGTCATGTATGAAAAAGAAAAAAATGAAGAAAAACCACTTATTACAGGGCCCTGGGAACAAAAAAGAGTATAAATCCTGATGCCAAATTTAGAGAAAAAAATCCTCTAACATGTGGTGTAGCTTGAATCCATGTTTTGTGGGTCATTGATACTGAAAAATGATTGACAGCAAAACATGTGTTTGTGAACAGCACTAGCGGCTAAACAGTTGAGCCAATTTTCTCTAAAATTGATATTCCCCAATCGATCTGGCAGATGTTGCAGCTCCTTGAATTTGAAAAATTTTCTAAAAATAATAATAAAAAAGGCTACATAGTTTTTGAGGAATATTTGTTGATGGATATTCTGAAGGGCATAAAAGAAAATGGTGCAGGTTGAAAACCACAATTTTTCGACAAATTGAGAAACTTCGACATTTTTTTGGTGTCTTCCCACAACTACAATTATGACTGATCTTTTTTTTTTTTCTTAATGAAAAGTGTTCATCAAAAACAAATTTACATATAAGGTGAAGTTGAATTTTTCAAAACTATAAATATTTTTGGAGTAATTGTGTGTCAAAATTACTCGCCTGCTCTGAAAATACTGTGCTTCTTGATCGCAATTGTAGGTGTTTATTGTTGGATGCTAAGTTATAATAAGTATAGTATTTCATATTTCTTTGTTCGTTTCTTACATTGGAGCTTTTGTTATACAAAATTAATATTTTAAAAATTATTTAAAAACTATATGAAATAAAGATTGCTAACCTTCAGATGGCCTCTGCCAATTTACAGTTGGAGGATACATAAGTAGTACATTATTTTATATTATTATTTATTATATTTACATTATATTCATTTTATTTTATTTTAAATTACGTCCTTTCATTGTGTTAAATGAGAAAACAAATAGATGAGCAGTCATTGTTGATAGTTGTTATGCTGTACAGATAACATGATAACAACAGCTGCTTTTCGCCGAAAGAAAAACAAATACTTTCATATATTTGTAGAATATAGAATACCACAGTGTTTAATAATTACTATTCTATATTTTTCGATCTATTTGTTTTCCAATGCTATCAGTATCGTATTATTATTAACTATTAAGTAATTTACTTTCTTGCATTCTGCTTATTTTTCGCAGCAAATGTTCTATGATTTTAAATGAGTTCTACAAAAACCAATTCGGAGAGAAATTGTGGCACAAACATTACTAATGGCGAGAAAGTATACTCTGCTTTAGTACCAATAGTTTCTAATTACTAATTATATTAGTTCCACCGGTGTTTATAGTAACACCGGGTGTCACAATGCCATATTCCCCCACCCCTCTATTTTTGGTACCCTAAAAGTAGAATTGAAATATGACTAAGAATGAGGGTTTGATGAATTCAATGAAAATGAAATGTACAATATTTGTATAACAGCAAATTTGAGATCACTTCATGAAAATTGCATTGAGGCTCCCCGTAAAGTACCCTCAACCTAAGTTAAAATTTCAATTCAAAATCAGGGGGCTATAACATCAACCACATCATTTGTGGTATATCAATTTCGGTGAAAATCATACCATCATTAATTCCTGAGTATTGTCCACAGATGTTGCACCATAAACGAATTATTTGGAATCATGGATCCACAAAATGTGAATTCTCAATACACAATGTTTTAGAGGAAGTAATTTCCTACATATTGGAACAAGATTTATCCAATATTTTTGTATCAGTTTCCCACAATACAAGTTTTTCTGTCAAAAAATTGTCTTTCTTTACAGCAACATTACAATGCTTTCTTTGTATTACATAAATAGTATGTGAGAATGTAAATATGAAAAAATTGTTCATGCCAAAAGAAACACCCAACCAAACACTTATGTTTGAAAATTACCCTTAATGTGCTATCACCAGTGGCAGTCACTCGCAAGAAGTCATCTGATGCATAATACGTTTCAGGGTCCGTCATGGAACGTGCATTCAGAAGTCTCTTTCGATGTGTCCGCCTCATTAACAGCAACACCAGCATCCCCAGGAGGCCAACCGCAACAACAGGGCCCAAAATTGCAAACGTAAGTTTCATTGCATAACTTGTGCTCTCTGGGAAAGGTGGTTTATCATCTAAAACAAAAAAAAAAAAAAATTTATTATAAGATTGTATTTTTTTCTTAAACGAATCTTTGTGATGCACTCATGTCAATGAGACTGACCTGTTGGAGCAACAATAGGAGGCAATTCTGGAAATGAACCGTTATTGCAGAAGTCACCCCGACAGCAGTCAATTGCATACTGACCTCCTGTATGCCTTTTTGTGTGACCTGAATGACTTGCTACATTGCAATAGAAAGGTACTTGATCTGGTGTCTTGGTACAACCACGAGTCACCCTCTCCACTCCCGCTGAATCACGTACTCGAGATTTGTAACACTAAAAAGCAGTCAATTATATATATAAGATCAAAATTACAAAAAAATACAATTTACCATTTATAATCCAGCTCATCCGTTTTACACTAAAATAATTACATCTCTACTACATTGTCATAAGTTTCATTGCCACATACATGAAAATAAAGAGGTTCTAACAACTACATTTAATAATAGTAAATAAGCATTCATATTACAATTTATCATCAACTTTGCAGCAATTTTGGTGACAATTTATAAAAAATAAAAGAATTTTGATTTCTTGGGAATTTTTTTTAACAACGAAAATGATAATATTGTTATTCCACAACACATACAATTAATATTGTTTTTAAGTCAGGTTAACTGTTAGGATACATTATTACAATACAAAATCTTACTTAATGTTTAACGATTCCATACAAAAACTAATGAATTCTTGCCGCAATGAATAAGGATACTGTAAGCTGCACTGAAGTCAATTTCACATAATAAAGTATTAAAAATACAAACAAACCATGAATATGCCATTAAAAGCATAAATCACATTATTGTTGAGCACAGGATTGCACCCAGGATTTTCTGTATGTGTAAGGGAGGGGGAGGGTACAGGTTAGGCATGCAGTGGACTTAGAGAATATTTTATTTATGCCAAATATAAGCTGTATTTTTATATACTACTTTTGGACAGAGATAATATGTAGAACATTAACAACTGATATACTGAATGATTTTGGGAGTATTCAAAATAAGTGAATCTACATTTGGCTGAAATGCAGTTTGTGATCAGATTTGTTCACACGTGTGGAACAGAAAACAAACAGAATGAATCATGAGCAGATTTAAGCAAGTATATGTGGAGAACAAAGAACACATACACACCAAATGCTTTTTAATCCAATCAAATCTTTAATTAAAGTGGATATTTGCATAACATGCAATGGTAATTTTGCATTGGACAAACTCAAGGAAGTTTTAAGTTACCTCAGGGCCAAAGGCCCGAATCTTGTCCTTAACCTGGACACCTGTAGCAAAGCTCAATTCTGCATGCATGAATCAAATCACCAACTGTTTTGAGGGCCACACAATTTCAATCAAAGCCAATACGCAATAAATTTGTTATCTAGTATATTAATGTATTGAGTGATCTTTAATTACTCACATTAAACCACACCAATACAATATGCAAGTGTCTAAATGTTGAACACTAGTTCAAATTAATTTTTAATTCTTAAGTTAATCTCAGAATTTTTCCATGATCTCATTATTTAATTCTCACTAATAGTAGTGTCACCGAAGTCAACACACATGTTCCTATAAAACGTACAGTAAAATTATATAACATCCATACCTGAACTGCTCCTTCACAAACAGTAGATGCACTACAATCAGGAGCTTCGCAGGAATGACATTTGTACTTTTTTGGGAATCCTGCAATTAGATTATTTTGTGCACTAAGCAATCTTTTATGATCAAGATCTGGAGGTTCTGGTAGTTCAGGATCATCCGGTGGTTCTTCACCCTCATTACTATCATGCAATGTCTCATCCATTAGACGACCCATCGTGAAGTCGCCTATTAACCAATAATAATATTGAAATACACAGCTGCACTTGTCACCAAAAGGGGTAAAAACACTAGGTCAAAAGCCAAGGTAAAAAATCAATTAAATCTAAGATATCATAACTCAATATGATAGAAGTTCAATATAAAAAGGTTGCATACAAAAGTTCGTACCTGTGCATAGGTTTAACGCTAAAATAAAAAGTAAATATGAGACATATCTTGAAGCAGCCATGTTGATCTTGCCATAACAATAAACAAAGCACTTTTCGTGCATTCAGATATTCTCTTCAAAGAAAACGGTCCATTAAAGTCTTTCAAAGCCCGACATTTCTTTCGCTCCTTCAAATCGGATTCACAAATTGTTTCACATACGTCTCACAAATATGGTCAAACATTCACTCTCCTTGATAACATCGCAACAGATACAGCCTCCACCTTCTAATTTCCTTGATGGAAAACGAACATGTTTATTCTATGAACCGTTCACAGCCCTCTTGAATTTTTTCGTGGTAACAAGGAGTATACAACATTCTGTATATTTGGTATTTGAAAGGTAACATTCAAGGAATAACCTACAGTAACCATAGGACCAAAACGAATTCGCGGAGACTTAACTTCAGTGGTAGGGGAATGTATGAAAAGCGTAGGCAACTATAATGGGTCTCATCATGGTACAAATACACTAATATCTGTATGCTAGAGTCTCTAAGTGCACTAGTCTCTTTACTTCGATTTATTTACAGACCCCGTTGACATTTGATCAGGTGTTATGGTGTCATCCAATCGGAAGTATTTAAAGCTGGCAAAACCACTATAGCACAATCACATCAATCCAAATGCAATATTTAGTTTTCATTTATTACTTCAAATTTGAATTTATTACTCTTGCCATTTATGAAATAAATGTGGTTTTACTTGCATGACTGATGAACTGGCACAATCAAATTTTAAAAATGGGCACAATCGATTCAAACTAATATGAATATTTAGTACTCATTTATTACTAATTTATTACCCCAAAATAAAATTACTGTAGCCGTTTATTGCATAAATATTGTTAAAACTTGATAGTTCTAACAATATATATGTAGTTTTCATAAAAATAGTTTTAACAACAACAAAAAACTATTTGATAATTGAATACAAATTCAGTAGTAATTTATTACCCAAGAGACAAATTTATTGTTCCAGTTTATTTAATAAATATTGTTATAAACGGAATCATAGTTATCCAATCATGCCACAACTTCAATTATGATAATAGAATGAACGGGCACAATCAAATAAACCAAATTAATAAATACACATTCAAAACTAATTTATTACTCTAAATATAAAAGTATTATTGTTGCCGTTTATTAAATAAATATTGTTAAAAATTTAATTTTAGTTATCCGATCATGCCAGATCTACAAATATTCGAGAGAACAAACGGGCAAGAACAAATAAATAATTAAATGCACATTCAATTCTAATTTACTACTATGGAAGGAAATATATTACTGTTGCCGTTTATTAAATAAAATGGTCATATTTGAAGATCTGGCATGGTTGTATGACTATGATTCAATTTTTAACGAATTGAATAAAAGGTAATAGTAATTAATTTCTCTTTGGGTATTAGGTTTTTTTTTATTTATTATATCCCATAGGTTTTATTCGTTTTTCCCGTTCGTACTTTCTAATGTACAAGAATGTCGTGCGTGGTGGCTTAACTGTGCAGTTTTTAACTATGTTTAATAAACTGCTACATTAATAAATTTTATTTTGGGGTGATAAATTATTAATAAATGAGTACTAAATATTCGTAATAGTTTGAATCAATTGCACCCATTTTTTTAAATTTCTAATGCCAGCTTGATAGTAATACCAGCACAATCACATTATTTCGTAAACGGCAAGAGTAGTAAATTTAAATTTGAAGTAATAAATGAGTACTAAATATTCAACCTGGTTTGTTGTGATTGCGCTAGTGGTTGTGCCAGCTTAACACACTACTCCTCAGACTATAATTACTCCAAGTACTTAAAATATAGGAAGATTACTCCATATTGACAGGTTAACGCCCAACAAGGATTAGACGCGGCAGAGAGTATGTATTTCTTACGACGCGGCGTCGTAAGAAAGACCCAACAAAAATACCATGCAATATAGTACAGCTGTTTCCACGATGACGCCATTGCGGACGTATAAACTTTGCGACGCAGATGCATTGCACAGTGGAAGTTGCGTTTTGAAGTTGTTGGTCTGTTGTTAGCGGGAACGTCTGTGACGAAAACAACTGAACTGATTGTTTCGCGACAGTGTCCACAGTAATGATAGCATTCAAAAAATATGATAAAACATCATTGACTAGGAGGAATAGTGTGCGAAAGCCGAATTTAACCAAAACAGACCGTCGAACCTTAAAAAGATATGTGTGCAGAAGACAACGAAAAACTACCGTGGCAAAATTGACAGCAGAAGTTAACACTAATTTGAGTAACAGTTTCCACAAAACCAATACGACAAGAGCTTCACAAACGTTACTCAATGGAAGGGCTGCAGTTGCGAAACCCTTCATAAAGGAAGCCAACGCAAATCTCCGAAAAAAGTTATGATCATAAAACGTGGACCCTTGATGGCTGGAAGGATGTGATATGGTCCGATGATTCAATGTTTCCTGTTAACGGCTCAGTTTATGTTATTATTTATTTACTCCAAAACAAGCCAACGTCCCCTTGATCCTACAGTCAAACATGGAGCTGATTCCGTTACGATTTGGACAGCTATATCGTGGTATTCAGCAATGGCGAAGTAATGCAGTTGGGGATTCGGAAAATCATATCCTACATTTTTCTTGTAAATTAGCTCCATTCATCATTTTCGTCGATCAACAAAAACGTCGGTAATTTACTCTTTAAAGCTATCGTTTCAGCAAAGTTATTTTAGCAGGCACTGCTCGTTAGCCAGTGTACTGAAATCGATCCTGATATTTCCCATGGAATTTATGAAGAATGTCTCTACACTCTTTAATCACAGTATAGGTATTCACAACTTTTCAATAATTTGCTTTTCAATAATTCAATAATGTTCCAACTTTCTCATGAGTTCGAGGTATCTCATGTGATAGATTTTCATCCGCTTCGGTCATTTCGTTAAATTTTTGAAGAAAATCACGCACAAAAGTTTTTGTCTTAAATACAAAACATTTTCTATTTCGGCCCAGTCAAGATGTGTTTGGAATATTGTCATCAGTGCTCGCTGCGAGCTTTTGCCTTCAACTGTTTATTTGGCCAGAGAGGGTTAAGCAAAGCCATGTTCAAGAATAGTTGCACGATTAATACCAGCAAGTAGTTGAAAAAGTAGGATCATTGAGTTAAAAAATAAGGACATTAAAGAAAAAGATCAGCACATTTTTACTTTCCCGTATACGTACATATATACGGAGTAACATATAGTATGGGGAACTTATATAATGCTGAGGAAAATTGATTTCAAGATTTCAACGGAAATACACGTTTTGGAGTCCCCCGATATCGAGAAATTTGTTATTTTCAAAACCTCCGTCTGTGAACAACACTAGCACGTAAACAAAGCGTACGATTTTTTCCCAAATTGAATACACCCCTGTCCATTTGACCTGAGTCAAAGCTCTGCGATTCTGAAATAATAACTTTCATTAATTGTTGGGTGTATTTTACACTGTGCCCTCCGGACATTTTCAAACTTTCTCAAAATCGTCTCCAATTTTTTTCTTTAAATTTCATGTAAGAATAGAGTAACATAAACTAATAAAATTGGCTTAGATCCGATTTTCATGGTTAACTCTGAACTTTTGAAAATTTCAAAAGTATGAATTTTTTCGATGTCTTCTTACAATTATACAATTAAAGACAGAAAATTTTCTTTAAATAAATAATCTTTTCTCCATAGTAAGTTCTTTCTTTAAAGTCGAATACATTTTTTGAACATTTTAGTAGTTTTCGCGTAATATTGCGTGCAATACTTGCAATTTTTTTTAAAAAAAAATACAAAAACAAGTTTTTCTAAAAAAAAAATATCTAAATTCTTTTAAAATTTTGATATGGATAGTGATAAATATACTCCATAAGATGACCAGAGAGTATATATTAAACATCGTATTTCTCTTTTTTTGAAAAATTACAAAAAATTAATTTTTTTCGTTCTGGTTTCAAGCTAATTAGCAACCCTGCTGGAACGCCCAACACCCAGTCACAATCCCTGACTGCTGCTGCTGGAACGCCCAATACTAGACTGCGCATGCGCGGACTAGTTCGGGACTGTTTCGGATTCCTTCTGGAACAAACCTATAATGACAGATTTTGATGAAAAATAATTTGGGTATTCTAAAACTCCCAGATTACTCTTCGGGTTTGTCACTGCCAGTGTTGTCAGATGTGTTTAGAGGGATTCCGCCATGTTCGTTTCAGTTTCCGCCGAGAATTCGCTGAACTGGTTTTAAATTTCCCGCCTAAATCCGCTAAACGTCAAATTAATTCTTTTTCCATATTTTAGTGTTGTTTTAATTTATTCTATAAAAAAATATGATTGCGAAATATAGTGGCTTTATTGAACCTGCAATTCAATTTTTAGATAATATAGAATGCATTACTGCTATACTAACTTTATTAAAGTACATAAATTCACACTGGAGACTCATGGACTTCAAAGAATTTTATTTTTACAAAAGATTCAGAAAATTATGTATGATTCAAAAGTGTGTTATTGTATTTTCTTTTCTTTTAAGAATGCATGAAAACAAGAAAGAAACACAAAAATGGAAAACTAAAAAGTAAAATTTATCTATTTTTTTGACTTCTAATATTCTTCCGAAAGAATAATTACAAATATTCTTTGAAATCATCAAACAACATTAAAATGGAGTAAAATTGTTGTGAATTTCCATTGTCCCATCGGGAAAGCATTTTAGAAGGAATTGTACTTATATTTTATTATTTGTGGAACAATTAGAAACTACACACTGGGTTCCAATAGACTCTACCACCGACTAATTACCTTCTATTTTTGGCTAAGTTTTGGCATCAACTGAGATTGTAAGTAAAATGAGGGTAAGCTAATGGTGTAATTCTAATTTATGTAAAGTGCAGTGCAGCTGTCTTTCCACTCAGTGTAAACCCAGCGTGCAGTTGTAGGGTAATGTGTATTGCTCAAAATATGTATTTGATGCATAACTTATAAATGTAAGATATGTATAGAAATATATACTGTAGCTGCTTGGATTTTGTTTTATATTTTGAAATTTGAGTACCATATGTATAATAAACAGGAAATACTCTTTCTTTTTGAGAGTTACTTGGAGTGGTGTGACTCATGATTTTAGGCATGAAACTGCATAGTAAATAATATTTAAAAAAGCAATATAATTGAAAGATGATTTATTAATACAGGATATTCAAGGTAATGTTGAACATTAACCTGAGCATTTTATAACAATGAACTAAAGTACACCAATCTATCTTGTTACCAACTCATCTTAATAAAATTATTGTGTTCTTAATCATTATTAAATTTCTTTTCAAAATACAGAAAAAGGTAAAAAGTTTCTAATATAAAATTGATGATCTGTAAATCAAATGTCTAATTATATTTTTTTACACTTAGTTCAAACATGGGGAGGGGGGGGGGCAGTTGCGCCTCCTGAATATCACCTCTGGTTATGAATTAGTAGGGGCTGCATGTTTGTCTGAGCTATCACATATTTTGCCTCTTCAAAGTATTTCTTGAATGAGAACTATACCATGTAGTGTACTCAGATGAGGTTGGAGACAATAACTACAAAATCTACTCTAACTAGTACTGCCTAATAGAAACTGATAAACCCATCCTGATCAACATTCCTGATATTGTACTGGTTTTGAAGACTGAAAGACAAGCTTATATTATCAATTTAGCAATCTGTCCACCAGCCAATCTGAGAAAAGTACTCAAGACAAAAGTTTACCAATGTGAGGTATGAAAAAACTCAGTGGTATCAGTTGATATTGGTGCTACAATAGAAATTCCAAACACTTTTATTTGCATTACCTCATGGATGAAGATTGCACCCATTCAGAAGTCAATAATTCTCCACACATGTAGTTTTTGTGAGAATACTGGGAGAACAGGAGATAAAATTGACATACTGAAATTCTACATCGGTGCTTTGATATTATCTCCTCATTTATTTAGCCCAAAAATTTATTAGATAAGAAAAGGATTGAATTCTATCAATAATATAAAATGTTATTTATATCCTACCTTCCATATTCTTTGGCAGAATTAATTTGTAATTCTGACCTTCAATTACTCTAAATTTAATTGTGCTATCAGAATGAATTTAAATGCATTACGAGGAAAATTTACTGGCTTTCAGGTATGTTGCATGAACTTTGGTGGAGGATTCACAAAACACGAGAAGATGAGATTCAGCCAATCATGGAGGGGAGGGAGGCATCATAGATTTTTGTTAAATAATAAACATATTTGTTATCAAATTGTATATTATTTATGTACTGTACATATGATAAAATATTTACACAATGTTATTGTGTAAATGATTTCATAATTTGAACATAAATAACTATTTAAATCAATTTTGGCAAATAAAGGAAGGTAGATGAAAACTCCAGGCCTTATTATGGGGAGGGGAGGCATGCTCGCCCCCTTGATCTGCCAGTGCTGGAAGAGTGCAAAACTAAAGCTGATTTCAGAGAAGGAAGTAGTTTGAAATCTCATGTACACAGTAACTTTTATTTTGACAGTAAGGTGTACAAAATTTCATTATTATAATAAAACTAATTAGTCTAAAAAAAATCTATATGTTATATAACATGAAGAAAAAGGAGCCCAAAATATGCCTGACAAAATACTCTTACTTTTCAGTGGAATCCTCATCAAAATAGGTATTGATGATACCAATATCAACATGAACAAAGAAACAACAAAAATAGTAAAAATAATTTAATGGGTTTAATGTTCTGAAAATAATCATATGAGCATATAAACAGAATACAATTTTAATATAGAATTTTATTTGTAAAGTTCTGTGCAGGATCAGCAGAATGTGTGAAAAATTAAAATTATATAGCATGAATGAGTATTGGAATTAAATTGTTTAGATAACGTACATCTTGAATTAAATGAAGGGGTTCCTGATAGACCAACCCCATATATGTTAATTACATCTTACTAATAATAACGGTCTCAGTAATTATGTGTTAGGATGAACTTTAAGAAAAAGTTAGGTCCATCTACTGCATTCGCAGGTGCTGTGGAGAATGTGGCAATATTTTACTGGGAGATCACCGTCTATAAAATTGGATTGGAATTTTATAGATAGTGATCACCCAGTAAAATATCGCAACGTAGGGTACATAGGGAAGGTCTACCGGGCTCCCTCACCACGTTGTACAGGATACAAAGAAAAAAACTAATCATAAAAATAAAAACATAAGCTGTTTTTATACAAAGAGAATATATATATTCTTTTATATCAGATTTCATATCATATATGTACAAATAAACAATGATTCAAGATAAAAATATACATTATACACTACTGTTAAACAAATACAAGATAATTCGGAATGAACTTATAATCTAGTGTTCATTTACCAACCTTCTTCATACACAATACCAAATGGAGTTTCATTACTCTCCTTGATTAATTTTGCTAATTCATTTTGTAGTTCTTTTGGTATTTCCAATTTATACGCATCTTCAGGGTTAACAAGATTATTTCTTACTATTTGTAATGCTCTTTGACGCAGAGAAAAAAGGGGAATAGTAATGAAAACATGTGTTCTTTGAATTTGGGTTTGCTGCAGTTGATTGCGAGGCAAACCTAAATACCTGGTATACCAAGGTTCTGGAAGAAATACTTGACCTGATTTAACAACCAGTCTATCTTTCGTTTCTGAATCAATAAAAATCCACGGATGAGTAACATAAGTATTCACATCAACAAAACCTCCAGGAGATAGTGTTTTGAACTTAACATTTTGCCCCTCGTAATTTAACCATATGACATCCACTTTTCTTTCAGTGTTATTAAAAAACCGCAAGAATGATCTCGTCGAATGATTTATAGATCGTGGGTTTTCTGGCGCAGATCTTGACATAATGAGTGACCTGCAAAAGAAAAGAAAATTAACTCTTCAGATAGGGCATAATTCGGGTGTGCCTATGCAAATATGTGTGAAAGAGCGGTTAAAATACAGTAAATAGGCTACCTTAATAAAAAGATATGTATTTCATTCGATTTTCAGTCACTTTGCATGTAAACAAGGATGTAAGCAGTGGTTATTAACAATACCACTAATAGTGACGCATGCCCTCCGTTCCATCTGTCACTGTTATCACTTCACCCACAAAAACTAAAACATCCGCATCATTCAAAAATGTAATATTGGGGAATTTTATAATTCAATTAACAAAACGTTTATTGATGTGAATGTTAAAACCGTGATTAATAAAAAAGTTAACACAATCTCCTTTTGCTTCTTAAAAGCAAAATATAACCTGTTGTCTCTGTACTTCTATGTCTGTCTCTATCACATCGCATACGTGCTCTACGCCACGCCTCTGTCACTTGTCCGTAATCTGGTAACAATGGCGGTATGTGTTGCAGTCATCGGTAAAGATGTGAGTGTTGTCTATTTTACCACCCATGACTTATTTGTTGGTAAACACAGAGTTGGTTGCTTGAGATTCAACATACGTGTGGGTTCCTGGATCGTTTCTGTTTCAAGTGTGTTTTTTTGTTGTTGTTGTTGACAGAATTCTCCCAAATTTATATCATGCTTAAATCCAGAGTTGGAATTGCAATTTCACTACAAAGTACACACGTCGTTGGATGTGGTTGAAGAAAAACTCTCATCGTCTGGCATAAATACCGGCGATGTGAGAGAGTTATATCTGGGCCTTTTGTATTCTACTGAAGAGCATAAGATGTATCCTTTAAAAGACATTTGTTTAAGTGTTCACAGTACTTCATTATCAGACCTAATCAGTATAATACAAATTTTTAATTTAGAATATAAATCTTAGTATTACTGGAATTCATCTAAATAAATTTACTTTTACTAGTGCAATCAAAAAATTGTAATATACCCTGATATAAAAATCAGATTTGGTTATGTGACAAACACGAAAATAAAATTTATTGTCGTTGTGGAATCAGCAAATACATTACTTCGGGACAATGAAGTGAGAACGGTATGAATGAAATATTGGGTTGCTTGGCTGCATGTTTTTTTGTAAATACACTTAAGATGTAAATATTTTATTTGTTCCAGATGTTCCGACGTTTACATAATTTGTATACTGATGTTGTTTGTAATCCTTTTTATATTCCTGGTGATCCAATTACATCCAAGTATGTTTTTTATAATGTAAACGTTATGTGATAACATGATATTCCATTTCTAGTGCTCATTTTATATTATTATTTTCAGGAACTTTGATGATACTGTAAAAAGCATAATGGTGAACAATATTTAATGTTAAATAATTTACTGCTCTATATTTATATAAAAAATATTGTAATTATGAATAATTTATCATATCATCGGATATGGATTTATGTGATGGTAATGTTTCTTAAAAATCATCTATGTAAATGGTACATTGTTTTGTAAATAAATCTTAAAATAATGAACAAAAGTGATCTGAACAACCTGAAGTATTTCTAGCCAACAAAATGTAATGACTTCTTGTGGATGGGAGGCTTTTTTTGTGCACAGTGAAATGCTTGTTCTCATTGCATGCTTCATTTAAACTGAGAAGTTCCTTGTGTTGAGGCAGCAAAAAGAGGTGCCATGGTCTAATGAACACAACTTTCTACAAACTAGAGAAGAACATGGTTAAAGCAAGATTGGTGGGTTAATATAACATCACATATTCATTACATAGGCCCTAAATGATAGTTTGAGAGAATTTTCTCAGAAAACAATAAACAGCAGCTTTCAAGGCTAATTAAAAGTACTTTGATTTAAAAAAAAAAAAAAAGAGAGAGATACGTTATGCATCAGATAGGAAACTAAATATACAAAGAATTTTCTTTTTTGTCTTTTTATTACAAGACCTGTGTAGCAAAAATAATGTTCTTTGGGATGTGGTAAAATGAAAGTGAAAAGCAGAGAAACAGTGCATCTCACTTTACAGATATTAGATGGCCCAGCACTTTCTCTCTCTAAAGCAGGAACTTGACTTTTTTGTATATCTGTTTTACTTCAATCTGCCTCTGCGAGTTAAGAAAACCAATTCTCCCTGTTTCGTATCAATCTGTGCCAACGTGGGATGGTCCGAGGTCTGCTATATAAGCTCTGAGGCAGTTTGGTTCCTCACACTTAGACCTGTGCTCTCCAACAACTAACATCATGAACAGTCTGGTACGTATTCAAGTAAATGTATAAATTATAATTCTATTTTCAGAAACTAAATGAAATATTATTTTGCAGCTTCTGTGTTGCTCTGTCGTTTTGGCAGCATGTGCTTTCAGCACTGCATATCCATATGCTGCACAATCCACTTTCCCAGTTTATGATCAGCAAGTTGATGAATCAGCATTTGCTCCAAGTGTTGTTGCAGCTCCTACTCAAGATCTGGAAGGTGCTGCTACTGGCCACCATGGTAAGTTCAATTTGTACTAAATATCCTAGTGTTGAATTCTGCATTACGAATAAACGTTTGCAAATTAGTCCAAATCAAAGTTGATTTTTTCTTGTTAGTAGGAAAGGCAAAGCTGATAAAACAGTATTTCAAAATGTGTTTAAATACCAGAACAGTAATAGAAATGGTCTCTTTTGCTCCTTTCTGCTAGCAGAATCAATGGCTTATACCTTTTCAAAATTTAATTAACTTTGAATTGCTATAAGACACAGTATTCAGTTAAAATATTAAATGCATATATATGTGCACAGTGCTTGATTTATAAAATGTTGGGTCCTGGAATGCACACAAAATTAATTTAATAGAACTAGTTATGCGTTTGTTTTTTTATAATAATAATAATAAATTATTTAATAAAAATAGTAGAGTAGAACCTCGCTAATCCGAAGTCCGCAAATACGTAATTTCGGATAATCCGAAAAAAATTCAGGATGGAGGAAAAATAAACAAAACAAATGAAATGCTTATTTGTAGGTAAAGGAAGGATTTTATAGTTACTGTAGAACTGAACATCCAGTTGAAAGACAAGTTCTCGAAATGAAACGTTTATTGAACTGGTAACTACGGTGTGTATTACTCGCGCAACTTTTCTTGAACGATGGTTTGAAGAAATGCTGATATATGCAATAATCTTAGTAGTAAGTAGTTAGTAACTTTCTCGATAATTCGCGTTTTAACTTTCTCAGCTCGAGGTATCACCTGCTTCGGCCATTTCTTTACATTTTTTTGGAGAAAATCGCGGACAGAAGTTATCACTTCAACAGAAAATAGTTTCTATTTCGCGCCAGTGAAAATATGTTTGGAATATTTTCGTCAGTGCTCGCTACGAGCTTTATCCTTCAATTGGTTATTGAGCCAGAGAGGGGGAAGCAAGGCCATCGTTCAAGAAAAGTTGCGCGATTAATTGAACAGTGCCCTTCTTGCCGCCACTCCTTTTGTTCTCAGATCTCGCGACGATGGAGTTGACTCGTTAGATAAGAACCACATTTGATTTTTAATATTGCATTTTGGCCTTTTAAAACAGAGAATTGCTATAAAAAGGTTGCATGCATTTATTTGGTGAGAATTTATATAAAGTATTTTGTGTGAAGATTTTTTAAAACGTAGCTGGGTGTTCATGACGTGGCGCATCAGGGTGTCTTCAAGATAGAATATCTCACGGCACTTTTTTGTTCGTGCCGCTAGATGTTGCGGTATATGCCATTGTGAAGACAACCCCTGACGCGCCACGTTATAAAAATCTAAGTATATTGTTAGGTTGTTCTTTACTTCGTTCTCGGATTTTTTTTTCCTATTTTAACATGAACTTTGCAGATAAAAACTGCGATATTATAAATCGCTTTTAAATTAATTATAATACGCAGTAGTACAGGTTTCAAAAACGAAGGGCGTTAGGGGCGAGTTTTCAAATTTGTGTGAATTCAGAGCAATAAAGCAACATTATATATTAGTGGCATACGCTATCGTTTTGTGAAACATCATTAATTTATAAAAGAACCAAAATTAATTGTGGAAACAAATTTCAAAAGCAGTTTTGCAAGTGACAACACAAGCTGTCGGTATTATAACGTCAGGCGGACAATGACGAGGACGGGATGTGCCATATATGCCATGAAATGCCGTTTTACGATGGATTTTCTGCAATGGAAACCGTCGTTTATAATGTTCGTATGCAAAAATGACTTCCATTTATTTTTATTTTTTACATTTTATGCAGTTTAATATATCGGGGTTAACAGAAATTTTTTTTCCAATGGAGGACATTTTACTTAGATGATTTCAATGAAATGGAGGGAATTTTACATTTTATACTCCACGATGTATAGATTCGTATTCAACGTATTAAACAATTCCAAACCATTAATAGTCTTTAAAAAGCATATTAGACTTTGAGTCATGAAAAATGAAAGCTTCCTATTGCATAACTTCGCTCCCGCACTCACCTTCATTTTCCATCAAAAAATGAGCATATATAAGTTTTATATCATAACAAGCCTAATAATGTATTATGTAAACCATTTATTTGAGTAAAAATATAGATATTCAAGACACGAAGTCCCTTTAATGAATTTAATTACTTTAAAATTGGCCAGTATTACTTGCAATTCACAGTACAAAAAGGAGGACATACCTTTTAAATTTAAAAAAGGAGAGAAGATCGGCGCGCAAAGTTAAAAAAGAGGACAAGTCCTCCAAAATTGGGACAGATGGCAACCCAATATTTAAGTAGTGAGTTGTTTCGGTGAAGATTGTAATACCAATTTTAATTTCAGGCCATCATGGGCGAGTGCAAATCAAGGTATACCGAGGCCCTACCACTCATGGACATCATGATCACTTCGCTCCTCATGGTTTCTGGGTAAAGCAGCCAGCGGATGATCACCATTAGATTCTTTATTATAAACCCTTTTGTTTTATACTATTATTATTGAAATGAGTTTGTATTTTGTGTTATGTTCTTGTAATATATAATAAATAAAACCTGTGATCACACATTTGTTTGTGATTGATGTTTCTTAAGAATTTAAAAAATCCTTCTGGTATCTAATTAAGTACTCATTATTTAATAAGTAAAGTTCATATCAAGAAAGTGTGAAATAACAATTTCATTTTTCCATGAGCTAGTCCTTTTTTCTTAGTTTGTCACAGACAATATATATATATATATATATATATATATATATATAATATATAATATATATATATATATATGATAATATATATATTATATAATATATATTATATATATATATATATATATCCTTTCAAAACAACTGCAACAACGATAGAAACTAGGCCCTCTATACGGGAAATTCATTTCTGAACTGTTGCTAGAACCTCGTTCAACAATGTATTCAACTGAAATAGCAATAAAGAATGACAGTTGCTGTCCTGTTACCAACTATATTGTATCTACGCCTTTTTTGGACTCCTCTGTACAGAGCTCACTAGGATAAAAAAGTCAAGCGCGTGCCTCTCCACTCCTACTCCCAGTAGCGTGACGAAATGAATGCGGACCCCCATCATAAAAGTGTTTCGCTAACCAAATAGTATTAGTAATTTAAATGGAATAGGAACTACTACTGTGGATGAGCGCTTCCATAAAATAGCGGACTCGTGACCTTCACAAATGCGAACTTATACAAAAACTGAGTGAAATATTGAGTTCTGTCCATACAAAAAAATAATTACAAATTTATTTCTAATTTTGCTTTCATCATAGGTTAAATCACAGGGAGGAAATTTCTCGTATTTTCTAACTTTTTCATGTTTCACCGATGAATTTCGGTTTAAATTTAATTTTGCACATTCACAATTACTAATCCTATTCATTTGAAAGTTTGCATATGGTGCGTCCATAATCTAAAGAAATAGGCAACAAAATTTATTTTCCATAAATTTGTTCAAAAGATATGAAACGAAAGTGACAAGTGAACGTTTGTGAAAAATTAAAATATGTTTTATTGGATTTTTTATATTTCTCATTGTGCAAAGATATGTTACAGTACGTTTCTTATATCTCGATCATACCGAGCCCTTAAAATTCCGTGGCCAGACACTACACGAATTCGTGCATAAATTAAAAGGGGCTGTGGCCGCCATTGTAGTGGATAATTTGCGCGCGGGATTCAAATCTGACGGCAATCAGGCTGGTTTTCATCATCTTTGTTTTAGAGTGAGTGTAGCAAAAACATGAAAAAACAAAACATTAGCTTTATATAGATAATGTTTGGATCAACGAGTTAGAATATAAGTGTCTGAAACGCCGCCATCTGTGCAGCAAATTGAAGCTATGTATTTTGCAGTCAAGGCAGCGCTCTCTTGAGGAACAGTATTTCAGTATTCCCTTTGACACTTGTTAAGGCCGGGTGGGCGCAGGTCGCGCGTAATATATATCCTCTTATTCTGTTCTCTCACGAACAAAAATCAATCATTGATGAACGGAAGGCTCGCTCGTGGCTCAAAGCGAAGTCGCTCGCCTTTAACCAAGGTGGTCCGGGTTTGATTCCCGTACAATCTGATGTGAAATTTGTTCCAACACAACTGGTTTGGCTGCTTCACAAGGGCTAGTCCAACCTACCGAGTGTCCTAAACCCTACCCCTATCCTAATTCCTTACCAATTCTGGCAGCTGGGTAATGACACAAGACCCCGAACGAAAGACGCGCGTACGCGGAGATGCTACCTGGCGGTGCTCTTGACAACTTACTACGATTTACGGACTGTATAAAAGTAATGGTGGATTAATTCTAATAAGAATAGGCACTCAACGCCCAATAAGGGTTTCGAGACGCGTTGAAAGAAGAAAGAAAATTTAAAAAATCACAATTTGTTAGGAGAACGAATTGAGAAACTTTGAAAACCCGTTGCTTCGTGCAAAGGTTATTGTCATAAGAATGGAAGCTATTGAAATGCTATTATAGTTAGCATAAAACCCGAAAGTGAATGTTATTGCAGTAAGCAAACAGAGTACAAGTAAGGCCTCAAACTTGAAAAATGATATATTTGGGGTTTATATTACTTCCATTTGTACAGTTATACGCCGAACATACTGAATGCATTGTGAATATTATTATTCTAACCACTGATATAATTTAATTAGAGATAAACGAAAAGACAACAATATAGAAATTAATATCTGATACAAACAACACGTCGATTCTATATCACAGTTCTACACGTCACCATCAGGAACCTCTCATGTTTTGACTGCAAAAACCATGGCGGCTCCTAGTTCCGCGCGCGTCCACCAAGAGCGCTGAAACCATAGGGTCAGCCCAACGAGTTAGATATCTCGAGTTAGATAACTCGTTGGGTCAGCCCCTCTATAGTATATTCTAACTCTTTGTTTTCGATACATATTTTCTATTCCAGCTGCCATTTTTTCAACAATACAGATATGCAAATTTTCACACAAAAGGTTTTCAACATTTACAATTATTTGCTGATTAAGGAACAACACTTATGTTCCCCTTGTAATATTCCTTTCCGTAGAATGTATACGAATTTTTGTACACTGAATTTGATCGTGCACTTAATATAAGCTAGACAGCTCTGAATTCTCGGCTGTCGTTTGCTGTCTCGGCGCGTCGTTGGCTGGGGTGCCGACGTTTCGCCTGACATGTCGCAGGCTTCCTCAGGGCAGTGAGGAAGCCTGCGCATGCTTCCATTGGGACTACCAAAATTCTATCTTCGGCTGACTCACTTCAACGTAATTTTATTGAAAGGACACAAGTCCAGTCAATAATTGACGACATTTAATGCAATATTTATGATGTTTAGATAATTTCTTTTCATTTGATATTAGATTTACTGATTTAAAATGTACACATGATGAATTGTTTTTGTTAAGTTGGCCGATCTGGAAGGTTGTTACAAAATATACTGCAGTAGTGATATTTTCGATATAAAATAATTTTATTTGTGTGAAACATGTCGAAGCAATAGTGTTTGTTCCGATGTGCTGGAGTCGAACTTAAGTGTCCAGAGGAAATCAAAGCCAGAACCATGTGCAGGGAAAGTGTATAATATACCTGACTCGGTCACGACGCATAAAATTATGTAAGTAATGATTCAATATAGACTTTTATTTAACTTAGTTTGAATTAATTTGTATTGCTTACACTTTTTATTATATTTTCGAATTTTGACCTTTGGGAATTCCCTTTCCGTCATTCAATGGAGGAGGTTCCTCCACTCTTTTGGGTTACCAGCCGCCACTGTTTGGACTGTATTATTCTAAACAACATCTAACAAGTATTGTACCTCAGTACTAGGTCAATGACCCACCTCTCGATCAGGTTTTTCTTTCCGTTTCCCTGATCTCTTGAGCAAATGGTGATATAGCCCCTTGTTTTTCTTCTGAACATAAAATTAACTTCATTATCTGTGCTTCTGAAGTTCAGTAAGAAATATAGTTATTCATGTTACCACAGCAGAAGTATATTCTTTCACGAAGGACATTATAAGGGATAAGAACCCAAATCGAACCCAATACAGCTGATATGCCTTTGCAAATATATTTTATGACATTGGAGCGAATATTTTATTAAAAATTCTTGCCAAAACGCTTATTACTTCCTGTATTCAGAATTCAACCTGTAAGTGGTTTAGGGTAGGGATCCCAGAATTAAGAAAATGTGAACAGAATACACTTCTCCCCGTAGCACGTCACACATTTTTAACTGTTTTTGACGTTCAATTAAAAACAAAATTATTCTATCACAGTTGTAACGATATCTATAAGGTACACTCATTTTCACTACAACGACGGCCTTCAAATTATTCCACCACAGCAACGTCGCTGTTAATTAGATAAGGAGGGTCATATGAGGCAACCAATGTGCAAAAAACGATAGAGGGACCTCCAAATAATTCTAACTCGGTACCCTGAACTCTATCTGAGTGGCTTTGAAAAAGCTCTCCAATAATTCCCAATTTATCCTGTAGTTTTATTCTAATTTTATTTTTTACTTTCCCGTACACATACGTATATACGGATTCATATACTTACCATAGGGAAAGTTATGTACTACTGCGCAAAAAACCCGGAGGATTATCGGCGGAAAAAAATCAATGCTAGGCCCTGATAACGAAAAAGTGGATAAATCCGGTTTGCTAAATTAAGAAAAAAAATCCTCTAATACGTGATTCAGCCAGAATCCGTTTTGTGGGTCCTCGATACCAAAAATCCAGTTGACGGAAAAACGTCCGTCTGTCTGCCTGTGAGCACCACTAGCATCTAAATCATACGTACGATTTTTTCAAAATGGGAATTCCTCGGTCGATCTAACTCCGCTCGAGGCATACTCGAGGCGATTTTGAGATACTTTCTTCAAAATTTGAGGGTACTTTATACGAAGCACTCCGGATATTTTCAAAATGTTCTTAAAAAACGGCTGCAGATTTTTTCTTCAAATGTCTTGTAAGAATACACAGTAAGAATATCAGTGTAAAAATACGCTGATAAAGGAGGAATAGCTCCGATTTTCACGGCTAACTTTGAATTTTCGAAAATTGCAAAAGTGATTTTTTTTCGGCATCTGCCTATAAATACAAAATGTGAAGAGGGGTTTCAAATTAAATTTGTTGTCCATAATTAATTCTTTCGTTAAATATTCCGTGAAATGTTTGCAATTTTTGAAAAATTACAAAAACAAGATTTTTTAAAAAATTGCTCCAATTTTTTTCTTTAAACTTTTCGTAGGAAATGTGATAAATATACTTTATGAGATGACGTAATCGCCATTTTCTCTATTCATTTGTTTTAAAAAAATTACAAAATGTAATTATGTTGACGTGTCTCTCGCGTTAAAATTTACATTAGCGGCAATTTGTTCACAATATTTTATTTATGAGTACAAGTGCTTTAAAAATGTCATATAAAGTTTCTCAAAAACTGAACCATGTTTTGTGAAAATAGCTCAAACTTCCGCAATTTACTCTCAAACGCTGATTTCTCCAGAACGGCTCCAATTTTGTTCTTCAAACTTTCCCAACGGATAGTGATATTTGCATTCTTTAATAAGACATAAAGATCATTTTGGGGTATTTTATTGTTTTATCAAACATTACACAAATGTATTTTTTTGGAAGATATCTCACGCCGTTAATATGCACATTTCCACCAATTTGTAAGCACTATTGTGTTTGTGAGTGAATGTGCTTTAAGTGCTTGAAATTACTTCATACAAATAATTTGAGTCAATCAAAAATTTTCCGTGAAAAGTAACTTCAAATTTCGAATTTATAGTAGCACGTAAACGCCATTTTCATAAAAACGGCTCCAAATTTTTTAAAGAAAATTGTTATTTAAGGTGAGGTTTTACTGTTTTTTAATATTCTTAAAATATTGTTTCCGTTCTACTATTAAGAAACCGAAAAATTGAGCTTGTTGGTACATTAATTACTATTTCCAAATTATCCACTATATCATAGAACTGTATTCCTAAATAGCTCCATGATGTACACAGTACTATGTATAAATGTGTATGTAATAAGAGAATAGGATAGGTAGACACTTCGGAGATCAAGAAAACTTGTTCAAATTGTAGGTACTTCTCCATACGACACAATTTTTCATGTTCTCCAAGTTCAGATAATTCAATATTATTTGTCAATAAATGTGTGTGTTTTCGTCATCGATAATTCTGTATTTATTTTAAAAGTATACGATTGCTTACGATGAAAAGCTGTTAACGTGTCCTTTATTAATAACTTGATATTTTTTTAATTTACCGCGTGTACCTTGTTCATTATAATCAATCAATTTAAAAAATGTGGCATAAATTAAAATCACGCTATAATATTACTAGCATTTTATTTATTGCACAAATCACGCAAAAACTACTAGCATTTTAATCATTAACTTAGATTCCCTTCCTCAATTTCACGCGCCGGAGACGCCCATTCTCTGAGCTATGGAAATTATTCCAGAACGGTCTTTATGACGCCTTCCACAAAGTATTTCATTTCCTCACCTCAAGGAAGAGACAGTGCAAGACTGGCTGCGCGGAGCTGCGTTAACTGTGCCTGTCGTGCTGGTCGACCTGTGGTTGTGGTTCGGAGAACCGGGAGAGAGGGACTAGGAAAACACGACGGAATTGACGTGAGTTACCATTTGTTTATTTTTAAGTTAAATTTGTTTCTAATCGCATACGACTGTAATTATGATTGTTCATATGAACTTATTTTTTGTTACTTTGTTCTATGCATTTACATGTTCTTTGAAAAGTTAACGAAATTCCTGCATTATTTGCAATACAATCTACCGACGCCATTTTTACAGGATTGCAGCTCGAGTTGAAGAGAGCCCTACGTACGCAGCCCAAGAGCGGAAAGAAACCGTGAAGTTGGCCGGTTTCATTTTGTCGTGTTCACAAGCTTTAATTTGTACAGGTCGACATGGGCGTTGAAGTAGATACCATTTCTCCCGGCGATGGTACGTATGTGTTCAAGATACATGTTACTGCAGTGTTCGATTCCATGGATTCGGCACGTTTTCAGTTCAGAATTATTATTTAACGCCGTTATTATCGTATCTCTGTTTATAACGGAAATGCTTGTTAAATGCAAAGCCGGCGATTTACTATAGTTTTTGTTGTTAAGAGGCTGGAAGGTAAAGTGTAAAATCAATATCGAATGTTGAACACCCGACTAACCTCGATCGTTTGCTTTTCAGGGCAAACCTATCCCAAAACAGGACAGACTGTTGTAGTACATTACACAGGTATGTTTGTCATATAGTCAACAGATGTTGCAAATCTTCATATATGTAGCATCCTAAAGGGATGTTCACCTTTATAAATATCATTTCAGGGATTCTAGAAAATGGTGTAAAATTTGACTCGTCTAGAGATAGAAATTCCCCATTCAAATTTCGTTTAGGCAAAGGAGAAGTGATAAAAGGATGGGACCAAGGGGTTGCACAAGTGAGTACCATTGTAAAGATAATTCTTTTGAAATTCGATAATGAGCATCTAAGAATACTTGTTTATTTTATTTTAGATGTGTGTGGGTCAACGTGCTCGCTTGATATGTTCACCTGATTATGCTTATGGCTCCCGTGGACATCCTGGAATATATCCTTTTATATCTTGATAAAATTATGGTGTAAGCGTTTTATAGTATGTTATGTGAATGCTTAGTTAATTGTGCACTAGTAAAGTGGGTGAAACAGATTTCAATCTTGCATACACAACCAGTAGGTAGTTTTGTTTAAAGAAAAGGCACAAATCCGATTTCTAAAACTGAACTGTTAGGTTTTATTTAGAGTTGATGTAATTCTGTTGGGGAAGGAGTGTGTGTGTGGCATTTATCTCTGAAAATACCTTTGCAAGGGACTACTTATTCGTAGGCTGTTTTAAATTGTTGAATCTGGAATTAAGGGAATGACACCAGTTTTCTCATGAAAGAAATATGAGGAGTCTTATTTATTTTGTTAATTCTAATAAGTTTACAAATTAAATTTAAAGCTGTAGAATTTAATTTTGATTAAAATTAATGCTTTGAAAATTTGTTAGTCAGGAATTAATATTGAAGACAAAATTCTGATTTGCAAAGTAGGAATTTTGAATAAAAAGAAACAATTTAAGTACCAAGATAGAAGATACTTATGGTTAAATTAATATCTTGATGACGAAATACTGAAAATTTGTTTTGATAGGTTTGCAAGACTTTGATGTTTTAGTTCATGCTCTTGACCCTGCATTAGACTAGAGTACGCGAATAAAGTATTCCATACAGACATATTCAAAAAGTGCCTGCAAAACTGAACCAAAAGTGAAAATATGAATAGGAACAGTTGTGGGGGCTAATTTGTATAGATTTATTTTTTAAGCTGTTGACTTTCTATTTCAAAATTTTCCTTGACTTCTGTGCACTATTCCTCCAAATGCTACTCTCATCTTCGATGTGGAATTGCTGAAGGTGGAACCATGAACATCCTGTTTGGGACATTTTATATCTATTCAAAATTAAAAATGAAGTCATGAATGTAAATGTTACTTTCCAGTTCTTACCAAATACAAGATGTATAATTTAAGATAGTTGTCTTTGATGTAGCCTGATTATCGATGTATCTCATTAATGTTACTATCTTATTTAATGTTTATAATACTTTCTCTGATGAAGCTATGCACAGCTTATACTCAGTCTTGTTTCCTAACAATACCAAATGCTTTTGTGAGATGGAAATAAATCATGAAATTGAATATGTGTGTTTCTTTTGGGTGTAATAACTAGACCATTCGAACACTGATATATACTTTATTAAGGACATGTACAAGGTCAACATTTAAAACAAGGTAACAAGATGCAGTTGAAAACTACTGTAACCTACAAACCTGATCAAACTTGTCTATTCGTAACCACTTAAACATTCTTTGTGATAACATCTGTGTGTACCACAATGTTTCATACTCCAGACTTCAGTCCAGTGATTAAATTGCATGCAGCTGAATAATATAGCACTTCATTTCTACTTGTATTTTTATAATGAACTTAATGACTGTATTAAAAACAGATTCTATACATTGAATATTGTTTTGGGAGAAGATTTTTATATTTTTTTGGTCCAGTATGCACTATTTCGATGTGATATTAAGATCTAACAGGATTAATTTCAAATTAGGTTGTATTGGAACAAACTTCAAATTGATAAGAGAATAACTTGCAGGATGAATATAGTAGAAAAGTTAGTCCACAGCACAAGGCTAGTGGCAGTAACTCTTGGGTTGGTGAGACACCAGTGTTTTACTACATTTTAGTAATTATAAATTGGGTTTTAAGGATTGAACAAATTGAAACAAAATGCTTATATTTTAATACAACTCTTGGAGTGAGGGAAGGACATTAGAAAAGTGACATGGGAGTAGGATAGGAAAACTTAAATGGTCCCTAAGTTGCTCTAGGGTGTTGAAGCAGTATCTCTAATTACTGCACAGGTAACTTTATCACTTCATGAGAGTCCTGTCTGAAGAGATTTTGTGAATGATGGCTGCAGTTGAATTCCCTGTAAGGCCATTGAGCTAAGGATGATGGGCTGCACTAAACATGAGAGTTGCACGTTTAGTGTATATTAATGACTTGTTTAATATTTCAAAAATTTCTCAAATGCAGAACTCCAATTAGTATATCATGCCAATTCACAGATGATTGGGCTGTTTTCCATTACAAATATGGCAAGTAATTTCTAGGTCCTCAAATTATCAAAACACACATTAGTATGAATCTTTTTCCATGAATATAAAAAGGAAAACATTTACACATGTAGTTCGTATGTTTTTGCAATTGATATTTTGTATTTTCTTTCCTAATTCAGTTCAGATAATTGAGGTAAGGTTTAAAAAACTTAGAACAGCAGAGAAATGCAAGTCAGACATTTGTAAATTTATCAGCATTTACCTAGTTACATTATTTTTAGAGAAGGTGGTAACTCTGCAATGAGAAAAGGGGGTGAGTAGGCGAGATACAGTAATCTCCTAATGTTGAAGGTGTCCTGTTCTTTGATTTTGCACTAGCAGAGGATTTTTACCTAGCAGTTTGTACAGAGAAATAAATCTTCTGTTGTAATAGTAATGCTCATTTTTAATAAAATTAAAACATGGTTTTGCACTCAAATTTGCAGTGAAATTGTTATATCAAGTTGTATAGACCTGTCACATACAAATCATGCCCTCTTGGTTTCATGCTTGCAAATGAGTATGAAGTGGAATGTGAAGTCTTATGCAAAATGTTTTTGACTTATATTGAACATAACTAATCTCACTTTTTAGATACTTTTCCTACTAAAAGATATTGGTTTGGGAAGAACGTTCTTCCTCCATTTTTTAATTCTCTACTAGTGATCCTGGCCCTGCTTTGCTATTGCAATGTATTACACTTCACATACAACTGGTCACGTTATTGTTCATCACATTTTACACTATGTTCTGCAAAAATTAATAGATAAGACTCTCATGAGTATGGGTTAATGTCATGTCCTGATGTGGACATGTTTGTCAAGTATACTATTGTTAAAATACTCTCCCTCAAGGTTAGGCATGCATTCGTTATGACAGTGGAAAAAATTTGATTTACTTGTCTGAAATGACAAATTTAAAAAATACTTCTGGCCAATATTTCACAATCACAGGGGCAGAATATGGAGTGAAGACACATTAGTACTTGAGGGTTCAGCGGGTTGTGTAAAGCGTCTGTTGGGGGGGGGTCAGACATACACACATTCCTTTTGTACTATGTCCGCATTCTTTGCGCCAATGCAAGCGGTAAGTTGACGTTAGTTTTAACACGATCATATGAACTGTATGACTGCATAAAATACCAACTTTTTATATATTATATTAGTCCTAATATTATATACCACTATATGTAGGCCTTTTTTTTTTTTAACTAAGCAGTTATAAAGTTACGTAAACCAAATAGTTGAGACTTATCTTGAATATGAACTTACCAAATATTCTTGGTAAATCTTGATATCAAATATATAAACAATTTGAATCCCAAACTGCAACAGAGCCTAGATCACATTGTTTGGTTCATCTTACAAATTGTAGATTTGTGGCAGTGTAACTTCACGTTACTGACCTGATCTTTACTTTTGCATTTATGTAACAATAATAGGCAAACCTAATTAACATACACCCAATGTTTGCTGTGACTAACCTTGTAGGAAATTGCAGATGGTGGGGTTTATGGAAGGTAATTGGAAGATAGCATAAGACACTAAATAAATGAAAGATAATTTTGGTTTATATGATAAACTATGTGAAGGAAGGAATAAAAATAAATTTTGTAAATTGAATAGTACATTTTTAAAAAAATAAGAATAAAAATGGTTCCGAGAGAAAAGAACCAGTTATCCACATTTCTGGACCAGTATGTACTTAATGACTGAATCTGAAAGGGTTTTAGAGGAAATCTTTTCTACCATATAACTTAAAATTTATGACAAACATACAAAATGAATAATTTTGTGAAGGATATATATTTCCCTCCTTGTTTTTATGCAAGAACAATAAAATACATTGTATATGAATGATATTCTCTAAAAATAATTTTCAAAATTGGGTACACTTTTAAAGTGGGTTAACGCTAATATGCACTGTCTTGCAATGGATGGCAAGTTTGGTAATTTCAATAACAATTTAGTAACTTCAATTGACTTGAGAAACAAATGTGCATTCTTATTCACTACTCAACAATTTTAATATGTAGGTATTTTTCTTGTTTCTGAAATTTATCAACATTATTCTACAATCACATATACTTTCTACAGTATTGTTATAATCCAAAAAGCATTAACTCATAAAACCTTGTGTTATTCACAACTTTGTTTCATTGCTTTTTCGAACTATACATACATTTCAAGACATATACATGGGGTACATGAAAACCATCAAACATGGCACAATATATGCCAATACATTAATACAATGTATATACAAAAATGCCATAACACAAAAGAAATATTAGTTAAATTCTCACCTAATACACAAAAAGTTCAGGGAAAAGTACTTCATATGCTGGTGGATTGGTTCGCAAACCATCATTCTCTTGCTTGGTGCTTGGAGTAGGTGTGGAAGGAGCACGTATGCCATCTGACAGGCCTGTTGAAAGTTTGCTGAAGATTTCATTCAATTTGTTTTGCAAAACATCATTCTGCAACAAAATTTATAAATTTGTTAGGACTTAATGAAACACTTGGATAGTTGCATTGTAGTTCAGACATAAAGCATTATTTCTTTGCAATTTCAATACAATACATTAGGGAATAATAGAAGAATTTGTTTAGCCTAAAAGAAAGCATTTTAACAGCGTTTCCACTTCTAGAAACTTCCACTTTCTGGAAAACTGGAAAATATCAGGGATTTAGAACTATCATCAGAAGTCAGGGAAAATTGAAGACTGTTTATTATCTATATCTTATTTCTTAAAAAAATAGTTCAGCAAAAAATAATGACTCAATTTTATTTGTAGAGTAATTTTTCACATTTTTACTCTAATACAGTGAAATCACTGGGGTGCCAAATTATCAGGCTTCCTTTAACACTTTTGATCTTAAGTACATATCTCATACGTCATGTTCATTTTAATGCTGGTGCTGTTAACAGCGTATACAGATACAGAAGTCCTATGTCAAGTTCACAGTGACTCTTATCATTAGAAGTTCAAGATGTTTTGAATAATCAATTGGTACTGGATTTCTCTGATGAGGACCATGATTTAAACCTGGAACTGTTGTCTACTTGAGCATTGAAAATTATATTGAGGAGAGTAATAATGATGCGAATGATTCTATTGGTGAGTCTTCTCAAATTCAAGAGTTTTCATTTCCTTTATTAATTTCATAGCATTCTAAACAATTTGAATAACCAGCATTTGAGAAAATCAGTGAAATCAAATTTACTGTTAATGAAGACTCAACTGAAACAGACTATTTTTCATAATTTTTTACCGCAGTATAGTTTGAAAATTAAAGACATATAAATAAATAAATAAATAATAAAAATGAAACTGTATCTGAACTTCAACGAAATATAATTATAGTGCACCAGTCTTGCTGTCATTAAGTTCATTGCGTTTCCCTTCATAGTTTATAACATTATTACTTTCTGCAAAAACATAAAATTGACAACACATGTTTCTTTCATTCCATTCTCACTATCTTACAACCAAATAATCATAAAATAATACAGACTTAAAGAGAAAAGACAATACAACAAGATTTTATCAAATTCAAACATGTGTACGATAGTTTTTGTTTTACATTTTGAAAAGTAAATATATTGCCCAGGACACAGGAATTAACTATGTGGCATATCCCTCAGGATCAAATGTGCTAACATTTATACTTTCTCGTATGTACGTTTCTACATAGTTTAGAGGAAGTTATGTCATGCAGCAGAAAATCTATATCGAGATTTCAATAGTAATGCACGTTTTGTGGTCCCCAGGTACCAAAAATTGTTGTTTTTTTTCAAAACTTCCATCTTTCTGTGAACACAACTAGCACTTAAACCATATGTAGGAGTATTTTCAAAATGGATCCCAGTCGATCTGGCTCAACTCGACGTGCTGTGATTTTGAAAAACTTTCTAAAACATTAGGGGTTCTTTACATGAAGCTCCTGGGACATTCTCAAAATTTTCTCAAACACATCTCCAAATGTTTTCTTTAAATTTCTTAAGAATAGTATACAAATGTAGCACATGTCCAATTTCCATGGTTAACTCTGCCGTTCTCAAATGTGCAAAGTTCATAATGTTTTGGGTCTTTGTACAACTACAAAATTGAAGATTTTTCCTTCAAATAAAATTTGTTCTTCATAATTAGTTTTCTCACTAGAATCATGTACATTTTTTGAAATTTTTAGTAGTTTTCTTGAAATATTGTATGAAACACGTGCAATATTGAAAAAATATCAAAAACAAGAATTTCTCCAAAACAGCTTCAAATTTTTTCTTTAACTTTATACCCATACTGTAACTGAGGCCACCAATACCATTTCTAACATTCTTTTGTTTTATTTTCTCAAATATTATGAATTTGTAATTTTTTGACATCTCTCTCTCACATCATTAATATTTACGTAACTGACAATTTGAATTTTTTTACTGCATTTATGAGTACATGTACTTCTAGTTGGGTCTGATAATCTCGCAAAAACAAAAACTGTCTGTGAAAATGAGCTCAAAATTTTAAATTTTTCAAATGTTATTTTCTCGAAAACAGCTCCTAATTTTCTCTTCAAACTTTTTGAAAGGGTAGTTCTAAATGCACTGTGCCAAGATGACATAAAAGACAATGGCTGATAGCTGTGTTAAATTGTACTTGCTTACTCCCCTCCCCAATTTAAAGACAAGTTGTTTAAAAGTACTGAACTTCTCATCACTGACATTTTCGCATCAAACTGCCACATTCTATATTATAAATATTATCTCTTGATGTGCGACACATCACTCTGTTTTCCAATTGTTTTGCATGTAGTTTAATCAAATCACAAAACTTTTATACGTTATTTTATTTTTTGAAAAATTCAGTAGTAAGTAATTTTTTTAAGTACTATCGGGCCACCTACGCCCAATGTTAAAATGGCCCTGCACACAAATTGACAAGTAAAATCAGAAAAATACTCTAGTAAACCCTTGTTAACGTGAATTCCAAAGGACTGAAATAATCAGTGATCTTGTTATAAAAATTTGTGGCATCTCAGGTTTATATATATCATTATTATTACGTTTCTTTGGCGGGACCCAAATGTTTGTTTGTCGTCGAATTTCCAGTTAAGCGAGTTCGTGCTAACGAAGATTTTCTGTAATAGACTAATGTGGTGAAACAGTGAGTGAATTTCACTGTTGATATCAGATGTATATTGCATGTAGTATGGGGTAATTTATGAACAAGTGAATAAGCTGATAACCAGCAGATTGCTACAATACCAAAAATTCAAAATACACAGAATAATCTGTAGTTGATGCAATTTTAATCTATAGAGGAATAGAAACTGACAAGACCTTTTCGTGGAGCTAAAATTACAGCAACTAGAAATTCAGAATGAGTGTTCCTTTTAGAAAGAGCAGAGTGTTTCAAAACTTATCCTCTGAAGTCATGAAATAGTTTAATACAATTAGTTTGCTGAGAGTATTCATCTAATGTATGGGATATATGCATGGGCACTTGTTGTTTTCCATATATCACTGTCTGCAAACTTCTAATTTTTCATGTTAAATCTGTTTGATGCAGATTAGGGGATAATTCTCTAGCAAGTAGTAGCACACTTACGAGTTTTGATAAATGGTAGAAACCTGCCACCTCTCTTTAGTATATTACATACAGTGGGGATGGCATACATCTATACAAATATAACCAGTTTCATATTTAGTAAAAGATTTATCTTTTAATGAGGTTAATCTCGCATTATTGTTACTGATACATCAGCCATACGGAATATGGTACCCATGTCCAAAGCCGAAAGTGCTTTATCATCAAGCATGATGAAAGGCAAGATTTGATTATGAACGAGAAAAGGGTACTCAAAAGGATAATAGTTTTGTTATGGCATTCTTTTTTACAGGCAGATAATATTTGTGAGTTACATACTGCCTTCCAGGCTCAAACTTATGTTACAGTACTATATGTGTTTTGTGCTGAAGCATACCTCTTGCGTTCTTTCCA